TCTGTCTCTGTGTCTCTCTGGCAGGCACATGTGCCCTATGGCAAAAACCTAAAGAAAACAAACAAAAACAGTGCCCAGTGAGAAAAAACAGTGATATATATGACAGGGGAAAAGCAAACTATAGACTGCAAATACGTTATATGCACCCTCCTACGAATGGTCTTTTTCTCCTTCAAAAGTGCATCAATATAGGATCCCATTTTTGCACAAGCATCTCTGCATGAAAAGGTCAAGCCAAGTGTTTATTAGAGCCTTTCCCACTGCTACCCTCAACTCCCAGAGGTAATGAGCCACTGTTCTTGATAGGAGAGTAAGCCTAGGTGGGCTAGAGTGGGGCAGGGAAGGGGTTTGAGTCACTGTGGCTCTAGGCTACACCTTCAAACACACTGGGTTCACATCCACCTACAACAGCAGTTAAAGTATTTTTACTAATCAATTCTCCCAGGTTAGCTGCAAAATCTGTGCTAAAATCCAGCAACAGTATTACCCCTCTGTAACACTCTTCTCGTCCTCGACATTCCTATGAAACTCTTCTTTCCAGAACATTCTCCTTGATGACATACACCTTCAGGAGCTCCCTAAAGATAACACCTCTCTTGGAAGGGCAATCCCCCTCAGCAACACAGCCAAGCCAATCAGGAGAACTGGCTCCGCTCTCCACAAGGTTGTGTTTCCTGAGAGCCTACTTCATTAAAAGCCCTACCCTATCACTCAAAATTCACTCTCTTGATCATATAAGCCCAAAAGCCATTATTCTGCTTTGCTCTTCTTAACCCCATCTAGTACACTGGTAACAAAATCACCCAATTTCACAAAGCAAGTACTGCTTCATTAATTATGCTCCCTTCTCGTCTCAGCCACGAAAATGGCAGCAATTTCTAATGTACTGCACCTCCTCAGAGTCAGTTGATGGGGGAACGATTCATATATCCTGTATATCCTGTTTTTGAGATTTAAATCCCCTTAATATTTTGAGAAGTGATTCCTCTGGGAATAAGTTTTAAAAGCTGCAAAGGACAAGCTTCTCAGAACTTTTAAAAAAAATAATAAAAAGCTAGTGCTTAGCACATAATTTCATTTAAGAACTTATTAAATAAAATCCATACCAGCTTCGAGATGAGTGTCAAGCAGTACTCCTAAATAGGCAAGCAGGCCACAGTACAAACATTTAGAGACACAGTGAAAATGGGTCACCTGCAACCTGGTACTTCTTTACCCTTAAACCAATAACATTATGGGAGGATTTATTTAGCACAGAAAGTGCTGTAAAATCTGACATATCCAGTCATCAGTAGAAAAAAACAAAGAATGATGACATTAAAAAAAAAAAAAAAAAGGATATTCATCCAGGCTTTGTAATTAAGACTGCTAGATAGCAAGATGAAAGGCAAATGATATGTTCATTTCTTATATTTAAAGAGAAGTACAGATTTGACAAGCAATTTCCTTAAGAATGCTGTCTGGGTTACTAGTCTGGATTATAAATCACATTAGCCCCTGAAGCCTACTTAATAAAAAAGAAGTTGAAAATAAACAAATGATTAGTTTGAGGTATGTGACTTTCTGAAACTCTCTTGGAAAGAAAGTTTTATTACCATTATTAGTGAACTGTTTTTAATCCCTGACATCAAAGCATAGATGTTAACCCTGGGGTTCTAAAACTAAAATAACCCAGAAATGAAATACTGTGAGAAACTGCTGTGCATTAATACCCGTCTGTTTTTCAGCTTTTAGCCAATTCACAGGTGATTCCATGAATAAGGAGAGGTATAGGGAAGGAAATTAGGAGAATTAGAAGACCTAGGTTCAAGTAAACAATACTATTTATAATTGATCCAAGGCAAAATCACCTAACATCCTGGGCCTTGCTTTACTCAACTGAGAATAGTCTTTTATAAACCCCATAGCATTGTTCTACTATGAAGGGACTAACTCCAGAATTCCTATGTTTTTCAAACTCTTGAGAGTCACAGAATTTTAGGGTTGCAAAGATAATCCTATTTTAGGGATGAGAAAGATGAGAAAACCCAGGCCCAGAAAGGCTTGAGCACTCTGTATAGCAACACTTCTGAAAACTGCTGGGTCTGGGAAGTCAAAGGGGGGGGGGGGAACAGAGAAAGGCTCTGGTTTTTCCATCACTGAAATATGCATTTGAAGAGGGTTCAGGGACCAGGCAGTGGCATAGCAGTAATAGATCCTGGGGAAAGGTCCTAGATCCACATTCCAGGACTTCCCAGAGCATGGCTGAATGCTTGCTAGTGACCCTGGCTGGTTAAGCCTGGGGGTTGATCATAACATAAAGACAGTGTTGTGGATACCTGTCTTTATCTCTCTTTCTCATGGAATAAATAAACACAACCTCAATAAAAAAAAAAAAAAAAAGACAGTTCAAAACAAAGCTATTCTGGGAACAAACAACTTACCCCCCCCCAAAAAAAAAGCATGCTGCTTTATTTAGTTTCTGTAAATTTACTCTTGTAACTTACAAATTAAACTTTTCATCAGAATGATAAAAATAAAGTCTTTTCTCTAGCTACAAAACTCTTAACTCTTCTCTCAACCTACCTCAGATGAAATCTTCACATTTGGGTTGGAAATGTCTAATGTAAACTGACACAAAGTTAACTTCCAGATATGCTGACAGGCATCATTATAATATGGATTACAGCTTAACTAGCCCAGAGATACAGGTTTTAACATTCCCTAAAAGATAATTAGCAACTAGAAGAGAAAGTTGTCTGAAAAATGAATGATTTAATCGAGACAACTGCATTGCCTCTAAAACTGTACCCTCAATTACACAATCTCAAAACTAAGGCATCAAATAAATTGTGTGGTTAAAGAGACAAAATGTTCCTTTTTCTACAGGCTATTGTGGGAAGCAAAAGCAAAAAAAAAAAGGCTGACTACCAATCGGTTGTTTTGGTTCCACAATGGACATAAATATAATGTGGATATTCTGGTGGTTTAAACCAACAAAGCAGGAAAAAACTGCTTCCAAGTTTCAGCAAAAATTAAGTTTGTGGTACCATTGCTGCAAGACAGGGTCATGAAAGTGACCTTAAATTTATTTCTGGACTTTCCTGCCTCCATTAAAATCAATGACACTATTTCCCATCCCTTATTGTCAAATCACAACAGTCCGGAAGCCTGGACCAAGTTCACTTGGCAGGTAACAGGAACAACCCTAGGAGGAAGTCCTGAAGGATGTCAGATACCATACTTCCTTTACTACTGCATACTTTTCACTTTAAAACTGCCAGGATATATTTATGGCATTTTTTGGATTGACACCCACCAAGCTTCTGGCTGATAGGAACTTTGCAAAACTGCCATACTCAGGGAAGGTCCCCCTGAGGTCTTTAAGTAGCTTAGATGACTAAAACACTCAGACTCCTACTGTAATGAACACCTCTCAGCCACTCATAAATTCTTTCATTCTCAGCAATCAAGACACAGCTGTTAAAGTCCAGGAATCTTCCTAGGAGCGGATCCCAAATACCTCCAGGTTGGCCAGAGAAGCTTCGCAACCGCTTTCTTCTCCTTCCCCTCCCCCGTCCCAGCACTGCCAGCCTGGCAGGAATAAGGATGACCCAGGAAGGGGAGAGAGAGAGACGGATGTGGTGAAAGCAGAGATGCAGTCTGTCTCCCTTCATTTCCACTACAGCGAAATGCCAACCCTCCGCGCCCACTAACCCGGTTTCTCCTTTCCCTTCCCACCCCGCCCCCTCCAAACACACTAACTTCCGCAGTCTGGGGCGTCTGGCATTTCCAGAGTTAGCGACCTCAGCTGTCCTAAGCCTTTCCTCGAAGATTCTGAACCGGGAACTTCCTTTCCGCGCAGTCTGGGGTCCATCCCACCTTAAGACGCCTCGGAACCCGCCGGGACCACGCGGCTCGAGTCAAGTTCAAGATGAAGGTGCCCTCCTCACTTCCCCGAGTCGATTCCAGCAGGGAACAGCGCCCCAAAGACAAGCCCCATCACTTGGGACACCGGGATGTGGGGCTGCTAAGAGAGGAACCAAGGGAACCAGGAGGAAAAGGCTGTCGCCAAGTCCGGCGTCCTCCGCCCCTTGGCCGAGACGCCCTATTCTACCTGGCCACCGCCGCATTTCCTCCCCCAGCCTTACACAATAAGTTAGTTCTGAAAGCCGGTCCGAGCCCTTCTGTCTGCAAACAAGCACACAATGCCAGGGCTTCCTTCCCCTCCAGCCGTTCCGGAAAGCCGCGGTGCCAAAGAAGGGAGCCCCCACACTCCGGAGCTGCGCACCCGCACCCCCAAGTCCTCCCGGAGGTGCCTACTCCATGATATAGTCCCCCAAAAGTGACCATTCCAAGAACAGGGGGGCTCCCTCGCCCTTCTCGGCACCCCCCCCGCAAAGGAAAACCCTCCAAGTCCAGCCCCAACTCATCCCCCACCCACCCATAAAAGAAAAGAGCGTGGATCCGCTGGTCGCAATGTTCTTGGAAGCGAAGCCAATAGAATTTCGGCTCATCCTGGAGCCCTGAGTCTCCCCCTCCCCTGCCCCCACACCCGGCTTAAGTTCGCTTGGCAACTTCGTGACCCGCGCACCCCGACCCTCCCGGGGCGCCGAGGACCCTGCGGTACCAGGCGCGGTCTCCCCCGCCTCCCCCGCCCCAGGTACCAGGAGCAGCCCAGGCCTTTGCCAAGCTCGAGGGCTACAGAGCAGGCGGGCAATGGGCGAGAGCAGGCGCGCCGGGTGGAGGTGGTCCGGACACCGGAGCATGCCCCGCGCGTTCCGGGTTCCCCTACCCCAGCTCGGCTGAGGCCGGCTCTACCCAGCGCCTAGGGAACCGCGCAGGGCAGGAGCGGACTCCCCAGAGTCGCCGAGACCAAGGCCCGGGGCGCCCGACATGTCTGTGCCTATCCCGGGAAAGCTCCCGGGTGTGCCCGGCGGAGGGGGAGGGGGCTCCAGAAACTTTCCCACACGCCTTCCCACTGTCCCCCATCACCCTCTCCTCCTCGCCGGGACCCTCACCTCCTCTCCGCACCCAGGCAGCTGGCCCTGGCCAGGACGCGCGGAGGCCCTCGGCGGCGCCCGGGCGGCGGAGTTACCTGCCGGGAAAGTTTCCAGCTCCTCGGCGCCGCTCCCCACCCCCAGGGCCGGGCCTCGGGGCGCGGCCAGCTCGGCGCTCGGCGGCTGCCTTTCCTCCGGCTCCCGAGGCG